ATACAAAAGCTTGAATTAAATTTTCCATTTTTCATTTCCGTTTTTTCTCGTAAGAAACTTTATTATTTTATAATTTAAAATATCATATATATTCTCTTCAATGCGCACTATTAGCCCTCTCTATTACAAAAAGAAAGTTTAAAAAACAAAAGCCCTCTATTTCAATTGTTATAAATGATAACAGTTATTTTCTACAGTTATTCCACCAATTATATAAATAACTGTATACTTATATAAATTACAAAAGTAACTAAATGATAACTTTACAAAGTCTTTTTCTATCTCTTTCTTTCCATCTTGTTTTCGTATATATTTTTTCCTTGTGTAGCAAATAATAGAAAAACAGTCGAGAACTTTATTAAATCTTAAGTATATTAAAAAAAAAATACAATTTGTTTTTTCTTCTTCTTCTTTTTTTTTTTTTAATTTTCATTACAAAATGTGAAATTAAAGTGAAGAAAATTTGGGTTCTTTTAAGTTGTAACAGAATCATACATTCAGAAACATTATTAAATTCTTAGTGAAAAAAAAAAAACAAAACTTTTAAAATCCTTTTAAATTGTAAAATATTTGGAATGAAATTTTCTGTGTAAATTTTTATAAATTTTAAAATCAAAAAGGATTTCTCATATATTAAAAATCATTTGTATTGTACTGCTGTACTATGAGTGCGCACCAGCCAAAACAAGACAAAAAAAAAATTTTGTTCTCTGTTAAATCCTACAATATAATAATGGATCACAGATGTCCTTGAGATTAAAAATAAAATGAAAATATTTTGCCTTCCAAAAAAGAAAATGAGGAAAAAAAATTTATTTTTTTTTTTTACTGGCCGTCTACTAATATAGCGAGGACAAAGTTTTTGCAAGCTAAGACAAAAATATAGAATTTTTTTTTTTTTCATAAGAATAGAAAATTAATTCTTAAATAAAAATTCACCAATAATTTTAGTTTAATGTAGCTCATAGATGCACGTTTGCACGTATTATAAATGATTTTTATATACAAAGTAAATGGGATGCACGATTAAATTTAACGAAGGACGGATGAAAGTTTCTTAGGAATTATAAAAAAAAATAATATTAGTTTTATTAATAGCGGATCATCTTGAAAAATTAACAATCGCCTTGATTTTCTCTTTAGTTGCTGAAGGCAAATTGGATGGGAAACTCAATTTTTACACAGAATTTGTTGATATCACTTCTATTGGCCATTTGAAAGAAATTCTCAATAGTTGTATCTGGAATTAAATGCGAACCTTCGGTTAAATAGAAAGCGGTGAACAGGTTTTTCAGTGCCAAAGTAACACGCATGATATTCTATTGAACACATCGTTATATTAAACGAACTTCGATCTAAAATCAAAATTTTCCCTTCTTTATATTCGTTTTATGTTCTATTTAAACAACAAATTCGCAAATATTTTTTCAAAATATTGAAAAATCTTGCTTTGATATTGAAAAAAATATCTTAAATGAAATTGAGTCAAACCGATAGTTTGTAATGTATGTGACAAATATGTATCAAAGATTGCATACTTTTAGGATGAACTGTTTTGAAAAACCTGGGAACAAAATTTAAAGAGGCGTTAACTAATACCATTCTAGAATTAAAACGTAAAAGATTTAAGAGTTGTCAGGAGCTTTAAATATTAAATTTATAGGGACAATGTCCAACTCTTCACCTCATAAAATTCTTGCTACTATTATGTGTACATAGGCTCAAGTAAGTGATTTGTGCCCCAAAATGCTGTTTCAAGGTAGCTGTCCCAGCTGAATTTACTCTGTTCTTGTTTTATTCTGTTCATATTATATGAATTACAAATTTCTCGTCAAATTTTTCGTCCACTTTATGTAATTGAAGTTAGTTTACTAGAAGAAAAGAAAAAACAAAAAATTCATTTATCATTTATAAAAATTGTATGAAATGCAAGCTTACAAATTCTTCAACATATCCTTAAATACTTATATTATATGTACTATACATACATATATTTAAATCTATATAATATGTAAAAATGTTCATTTTGAAAAAAGTTCAAGAGAACTTTTCTTAGAATTTATATGGTAAAAATTTCAGACGACAAAAATGCAAAATTTATATTTAAAGTTCAAAACTACAAAAAAAAAAATGGAAAAACTAGAAAGCGAAAAGTTTAAAAAGTTGATAAGTCTGTGTTTTTATGTAAGGATTTCAAATAAAAGATTTAATCTGTTGAAAAACGCAAATAATCCTATATAGAACAATTCGGTTCGCACTGCTTTTCTTTATTTTTCGTTTGCTCTTGTTTCACGCTTTAATTTTTTACTATTTGAAAATAAGTTGAGAGAATGAAAAGATAGATGAGGTGAAAAAAATTTTTTTTTTTTTTTTCAAGTCAAAAGTTCTTAAATATTAAAAAGAAGAAAAGATGATTGTTGTCATCATCGGAGTGAAGTTTTTATAAAATATTTTTCAGAAAATTTCATTCAACTTTTAAATTTCTTTAATAGTTTTAAATGCTTCATTTCATCTTTCATCTATATATGTTAAATGTAAGTTTGATTAAAAATAAAATAAAAGTTTTATATATAGTAAAATTATCTAATGCTAGGGGAAGTTGTTGTAGTATTTAGCTATATGGAGTAGAAGATAGCAGATGAATATTTTAAATACGAAATTTAAAATTTATTTGGCCATTTTATAAATATTTTAAATTTATGTTGTTTTAGTTGAGAATAAAATAATTGTGGGGGAATGTAGTTTTCAGTGTAGCATTTGTAATATTTATTAGATTTTAATTTTTAATTTAAAAAATTGAAAACATAAAGAGTACTTGTAATTGGATTTGCAGTTTAAGATAATGCATTCTAAAACTGGAGATGGGTACTTAAAAATTAAACAATATTAAACTGAAATTTGGAGTATAGTTCTGTAACATTGCAATTCAAAAAGATTAAGGGTATCACTTACTATCTGAACGAAATGCTCCATAGAATTATCACACATCTTGTCATGACATTTTGACGCTCAATACATTCCCACTCTATTCTCTGTCGATTCTCTGTCGGTATTGAGATCTCCTCGTTTTTTTCGGCTAAATTTTGTGATGCATAGTCAATTAATTTTATTTTGCAATTTTAAACATTTTTTGTAAATCTTACTCAGAATATTTAGTTGCTTCCAGTATATTAAAATGCTTTATTTCCTGACGAGTTATACAAATTAAAATGATGGGAACAAATCTGATAGAATTTAGTGATACTGACTACCGAATCATAATATTTTACAAAATATGTAGAATATGTTTTTTTAATATTAAACTCTTACAGTCTTGACTCGTACACTTATTAATTATTTTAAAAAACTTTTGTCTTCATTCTCCAAATAAAATTATGTTTCTGTTTGTGTGCCCATATTTACAATATTATTAATAATATTGTAAATATGGGCACACATAATTCACAATATCATTCACAATATATTATACTCGTAACAGAAATTAATTTAAGAACAATTTTATTTATTTTTTAATATAAGGGCAAAATTTTTATTAACTTCAAAATCAAAATATTCAGTTTCAGTTAAACAATATTGTATATATAAAAATACGAGTATCACAATATTAATTTAATACCGTATATCAGTATAAAAACATTGTGCTATCATTGTTATCATTGTAATCATACAGAAAAATAAAATAAAATAAAAATAATAAAATGAGAAATTTTTTTTCGGCATGCGCCGTTACTTCATTCACTTCATTCTACCACGTGTTTTTTCACATGTATTTTTTTTATTCTGTAAAAATTTCTGCATAGAAAAAATCTGTTATACACAACCTTTACGAAATGTAGAATTCAATATTGTTCCACACACGTTTTCAATAAAAATTCTACAGAAAAAATCCAAAATTCTGCAAAAATAAAACACAGAATCAAAAATTTTGTGGATTTTATGTTTTTTTGATTCCTGTTTTTTTGTTGTAGTTCTGAATTTTATGTTGAATTTCCAGTATCATAATTTTCGACAAATCCGAGCAAAGCATTTTAAATAATATAACGGATAAGTGATATGATAATAGCCTTAGCATAATGAAAAAAAAAAATTCTTTTTTTTTGTACTTTTACAGACGCATATGCAATAACAGAAAATCTGTAAAATTTTACAGTTTTTTTTGTTTTTTTTTTTTGAACTTATATTATTTTTGTTGTTTTACGTTAATAAAAATTTTGTATAATGTACATAACGTACATACTTACTTTCTCATTTATAATAATAATAAACTTTTATTTAATATGTATGAATGTCGGGTTTAATACGTGTATTTGTAATTTTAAGATGTTAAAAATGTGCCTACAAAACTATTGTGTTTATATACATACATACATTATATATAAATGTTGCATATACATTTTGTTATATTCATACATATTGTATGATTATGTTTGTTATAATATTAATGTTGCATTTCAAATGTTCTGCGATTCAATGCTGTAATAAATGCTGTGTAAGAAGAAGAAGAGAGAAGAAGTAGCAGGGAGAGAGAAAAATATTCAAAAATTTGAAAAATATTTTTGGGTGTTTTTTTTTCTGCTCTTTGTTATTATTAAAAATTTTTGTACTTTTATTGATACTATTTTATGCTAACAGAAATTTTATTATCCTTTTAGTGGTTAACGGGACTTCAATATGAAAGGATGTGTTTTTATTTTATGTTGTGAGTAATTAAAATAAATTATTGTTTTTTTCTTTTGATTTTATTTAATTTTTTGGAATAAAACAAAAAAAAAACTATTAAAGTGTTTGAAGTGAAACAATATTAAAAATATTTTTTTTTTTCATTAAAATTTAAAAAAAATAAATTTGTGCGTGTTGTAAAATGAATTTAAAATTTTATTCTTGAATTAAAAATAAAAAAAAAATAAATACAATTTTTTAAAATTTTTAAAAATTTTCTGACATCTGTCAAATTTTATTATTAAATTATTCTCTCTACTTTATAATTGGTGACAAAAGAAATTTTTTTTTCAAAATTGTTGAAAGTGATTTGAATTTCAAAAAAAAAAATGATTAATAAATCTAAATTAGAAATTTTTAATTTTAATAAATTAAATAAGATGTAAATTAAGAAAAAAATATTTGAATTAAAAATTGAAGAAAACAAACTGTAATAAAAAATACACACCCTTCTGCAATTCAATAAAATAAAAATAAAGAAAAAAAGAAATTGTGTTTTTATAATTTGAAAAAAAAATTATGGTGAATGATTTAATTATACAAAAAAATAATTTGAATTTAAATTTAGATCCAATTTATGTTGATACAAAAGTAATAAGAGCTAAAAAATCATTAAAATTAGGAAAACCATTAATAGCAACAACAACTGAAACAACAGCAACTACAAATAATTCTATATTATCATCATCACCATCATCGTCATCGTCATTACCATCGATAATAAATACAACAAGACCAATATCTAATACAATATCTAATATAACAACATTACCAATAACAGTAGTACCAGTAACGGCAACAACAACAACAATAACAACGAAAACATTAACCTCAAAATCGATTGTAGTAGCAGCAACACCACCAACAACAACAGCAGCAACCAATTCTATTAAATCAACAAATAATAAAATTTTAATAAAATCATTGAATGATGAAAAATTTTTAAATAATTTACAAAATTCATCACATTCAACTATAGGTTATCAAATAACACAAGATAATATTAATAATTTTGATAATAATTTAGAATATAATCAAGATCAATTGGATAATCAACAATCATTATTGATTTGTGATGAACAAATATCACCAATATTACCACCACCACCAATATTAAAATTATCATCAACAAAATATTTAAATAAATTATCAAAAATATCATCAACATCAATTCAATCAACAATTATATCGAATCCTAATACTATTAATAATCAAATTATAACAGAAATATCAAGTGATTTGATAACATTAAAAAATCATAAACCAACTGTGGTATCAACGGTAAGTGGTACATTATCAAATCATATAAATTCATCAATATTATTAAAAAATAAAAAAAAGAAAAATTTAATAAATAATATTGAAATAATTAATGATAATAATGATGATTATGATGATGGTAATGATAATAATGATTTAAAAATTATTGATGATGGTGAAATAATTGCAAATAATTTAAATTGGAAATTTTTTGATCGTATTTCACTTTTAGATGATGAATTACGTGATCAGGTAAATTTATATAAATTTATGTACATATATATACATACATATATAAAATAAATATTATTGAATTGACATTTTTATTATAATTTATTTATAATGTATAAGCTATTATGATTTTATTTTAAATAATTTTGATGATTAGCAATTTAGTTGATTCTAAATATAAATATTTAATTTGTGAGAGAATAACGTTTATTGAATTTTCCACAAATTTGTGGTATTTAAATGCGATTATGCAAATTTTATGCTTTCAAAAAATTAAAAAAAAAATATTTTTTTTTTTTTATGAATGAATGTTTTTGAAATCGGAAATGTTAAAAACAAGTGAGAAATTTACTATTACCATTGAAGTTTCTTCAGACACAATTTGGTGTAGGAAATATGAAATTTATCAAGTATTGACCTTTGAATAAAAATGTAAAATTAAAAGTTATGAGGAAATCGAATAAGTTTTTATAAAATATCTAAAATACGCTATGAATTCTATGGACCAAAAATAGTGAATTTGAGCCTATAGCGATTTCATTGTGTTTTTAATTTTTTTATTTTTCATATTGCTTACAGTCGCTCCGTAACAATTTGAATATTTTATAAGATCGGCATGTACTATGTTGGTCGAACGTTACTATTCCACTGCTCAAAAAGCCGTAAATAACTACAGATTACGATTTTTTTTACTTTGCACACTCTGTTTTATGAGTGTTGGATTGCCACAAAGTTTTTCTATATTTCTCTTTTGAGCAAAAATTTTTATTTGTCTTTATGTTTTTTCCGCGAGTAGATGCCTTTTTTCTTCGGTTTACCATTCTATTTACTTATAAAAGAAATTCATTCCATTGCTCAGTGAAATCACTCCATAACTCGGTGAAATCACTCCATTACTTATAATTGGTGTTTGATGCTTAGGCTTCCTTCATATGTGATCCAGACATTCATACATTTTTTTCTTGTTTGGATTAAAAACAAATGTTGGTTGCAACACAGGAGACAAAGCTCGTTATTCTGTTTTGCACGAAATATCATGCTTCGTTTTCGGAAGCAATTGTTGGTGAAGACTGAAGACCTGATATACTTCCAACAAAAAATTAAGTAAAACGCATCAAATTACCAAAATCTTTTTAATTTATGTTTATAGGAAGTTACAAAAGTTGTGTTTGTTTGGAATTGAAAAACGAGAAAAAATTTTACTTCAAATACTAAAGAAAGTTTTAAAACCACAACAATGAAAATTTCGGTTGGTTTAGTACTCGAACTTACGTTGAGTTTCAAATCAATTTCGAAAAGTGTAGTTCTCATTTTAAAAAGAATAAGCCCGATTTCAGATTTCAAATAAATTTTACTGCTTACTTTTATTAAAACTGAATCATTAAAACAGAGGTGTTAATGAGTGAAGGAACACTTTTTCCAAAATCTCATTCTTCAATATTTTTGTATATATATTTGCGAAATAAAAAGGGCCAAATGTAGAATATGTTTCACTATTTTTCTCGAAAAAATTATATTAATTTGACTTCTTTATTTATTTGTTATCATACATTAACCTTTCTGTTAGCACCTCATTTCTCGGGTGTGACATTACTATCTGTCTACAGCCACATTGTGACACAAACGATGCTGGCGAATGTTATAAAAATTTGATATAATTCTTGATTAAAAGTATATAATGGGGAGCAATGTCTTTGATTTGGACAAAATATTTTGCTAAAATTAACAAAAGAACAGCAAAACTAAGAAAACAAGTCCTTCGACTTCTGTTTTTGTAAATGTATATAAGATGTGATAGCTTTAAGTGCTTATGCAATATAATCAGAATCTTACAACACCCGAAATCATGAAATACCGACAGTAACGAAGAAGAACAGACATTATGCTCAAATGCCCAACTGTAGAATAAAATCTCAAATAGAACTACAAAATAATATAGGAAAAACGTAAAAAAAAACCACTGCACCATAGAGGAATCAAAGTGGTAGAATTCAATAAAAATGTACCTGTTATTTATAGTACAAACGTAGTCCTACTAAAAAGAGTTGTTAGTATTCAAATCAAATTGTATGTTGTCCCAGATGCTGCACAAAATATATAATTTCGTGAACTGTATTGTGAATTTGTAATCATTTTTATTTTTACGCAAAGACATCGTTTTTACTACCAAATTTAACTTAAAAAAATTTTTGTTCTCAAACACCGAATTAATCTTAAAGACTTTACATAAAAACATAAAATTTTTAAAATTTTAAAAAAATTACCAATTAAATTGTCGAATCATTAAAATTTAATTGAAATGCACTCTTCGATCTTCAATTATTTAAAAATTTAAGCGTCATTTGCGTGCGTTACAAGGGCCTCACTTTTAATATAAAAAAGTGATAAAACATAAAAAAAGAAAAATTAACATAAGGTTTAAGTATAACAGATTATAAATTTTTTAAACAACACCATTCATACATGAATGTACAACATATAAAATGTCCTTGAAAAAAGGATCATATGTTAAATGCATACAAGCATGCAAAATTATTTTCGTCATGTATTTTTTGCTTTAATATTAAAAAAAAAAATAAAATGCTCAGAAGCAATTTTCAGTTTTTAATCTTAATTACATTTAATTTATATATACCTTAACTAAAAATACTCAAATTATTAATTAAATATTTAATAAAAACAACAACAACAACAAAAGAGAAACGAAATATTTTAAAAATTACTTTTCATCCTGTATTTAAATTGGAAAAAGATTAAATCCTTTTCAAGGGAAATACCGTATATATGCATACGAAATAACTTAATATAATGTATGTTATGTATGTATGTGTGTAGGAAAAAAAATCTGAATATTGAATAGCACTTAAAATAATATTTATATTAATGTTTATTATCTGTTGGATTGTTGGAATTTAATTAATTTAAATTGTTTAATATGAACGCGTGTTCGTTGTGTTACGTATACGTTTGAATTCATCTTTTGTACGAGTATGTACATTGCAAACTGTTCGAATATAATTTTATGTTATGCGGATATTATTGTATCTGTATACAAAATATAATAATGAGTGCATTTATATGTAATTTATAAATTTATTTAATTTTTCTTTTCTATTTTAATTATTTTATGTTTTGACTGCAGGACCATTTATTTTTGGTTAAAAGTTTTTGTCTTATTTTATTGTTGTTTTTTGTTTTTTGTATATTGATTGAAAATTTCTTTTTCAATGATATTGACATAATTTTAATACAATTTGATTAAAATTCGTTATTATTAAATTGCAGTTAGGTATTGTTGGATTCTCTCCATGGGTAGTTTATTAATTCGTTTTTTTCTTAGTGACTGTTGGGTAAAAAGTATGAGGCTAAATTTGTTAATTGTGTCTATAGCGTATATATTTGTTTGAGAATTCAACTAATTTGGAAAATTAAAGTTTCATAGCTGTGTGACTAATATGAAAAGGATGACAATATTGGCAATGCATAAATTTGAGATTAACTTTGAAACTGTGATGGCATTTTAAATTTGAGTAAGATTTAAGGTGTTTTAATTTTTAATATCACAATTGTGTATAAAGTTTATAGTGCTATACAGAGATTATTTTTGTAATTTACAAACAAGCTACTTTTTTGAAGGGGGCTAGTAAGTTTTTTTAATTTTTGGTCATAAATTGCCGTTTAAAAGAAAATTTTACGTTGTTCGAAATTGTGCTATTTCCTGGAGGATGCCTATAGAGTGTCGATTGTCAATAGATTGGTAGCAATATTGATTTCATGCTATTAACGCATACCAATTCGTTACTGAGATAATCATTTTTCAGGTATAAAATTATTCGAAGTTTAGAAGGCTGTACAGCATTAGTTTAAATTATAACGTTATTAATTATAGTAAAAAATAGTTATGAACGCTAATTTTGTATTCTGCGTATTCTAAACTGTTACATTTTGGATTTGGTATTTATAAGAATAACTCTGCCTCCATGGTTTGAATTTACATATATATTTTAAGATCAGTTTCCTAGCTAAAATTAAAGTTCTCTAACTTATGATAAAAGTATGCAATAAAATTATTTGATTGCTGAGCATCTATTATGGTATTCAAATGTCTTGTTACTATTTTTAAATGTTTAGCCTATACACTCTATTCGTGGTTTACTTTTTTAACATTTTATGTGTGATTCTCTGCTGTAGTCAATGTCAAATCTATTCAGATTAGTTTACCTTTTCACCTGATATTGAAATTCGAAAAACGTTTCAAAAACAATTGTTAGTCGAAATTATGCAGTTTGACGCCTTCTTTGATTTTTTTTCTTTGGAAGCATATTAACCATCTTAGATAGCATTGACTATCGTTTTAAAAAATAATATTGAATTGATATTTCGGTTGAATTTTATTTAAAATTGATTAGCTTGAAAAGACCATTTAAAACACGTTATTCTTTCCAATATTTGCATGAAATTGGAATCACGTGATTAATGGAAATGATGAACGAATCGACACAAATAAAAGTTACCTGCAGTGATGAAAAATTATTCAGTTGTCCCGTGTTTTTCTTGAAATTTTAAAAACGAAATCATTAAAAAATCGTATAGGGGAATGCTTAAATTACTCTTTATTTAAAGTTCCAACGAAACTACACGAAAATTACTCTTAAATAAAATAAAATTTTCTCTCTTAAACATTACATTTAATACTAATTAAAAATTAAAAAATTCATATTTTCAGTTCTCAATTTTTTTTTACAGAAAATGACGAAAAGTCAATATTAAAAAATTTTTCCCTATAAATATGCAATGAAGGTTTAACGTGAATTTTTTTTTTTTTGGAAAGAATTTCAACTTTAATATGAAAAAAAAATGATTTGCACTTATTATGAATATTTGAGAATAATTAAAAAAAAATAAGTACAAAATACAGACATAAAATTAATATTACATCGGTGCATATACATACATACGTACGCGATAATATCATGTTAATATAAATGAACCACATTATCGATAATATTATGTCCTTTGTC